TTTTTATCCTCTCAATAAGTTTAAATCCCCCTTGCTACCATATGTCAACATGAATTCATTGTTCCCCCCGCCGTCCCACATTTTCCAATATGGCAATATGGTGAGGGTAATAGTAAATGCTGATAAATGTTAGGGAACCCTTATTTAGAAACTTCTCTACGTAAAAATTGATTTAATTTTTACAGAAATAAGTAAAAAAGTGTCAGGAAGTTGTTGTCGACAGGTATATGCCATCATACTATGGTTTGCTGAGGTCTAATGAGCTTGATCTATGTAAGGTAAACATATTAGGTCTGTTCCAGTCCTTTTTTAATAGTAAAACTAGTAAAAGGGAAACATTTCAAAATAGTTCTCTAAGTACCAGATAATTTAAAAAGTTCGGGAACGCAAATCTAGTAAATATGCCAAAATTAGATGGCAATACTTCAAAATCAACAGCCAATCAGAAGTAGGCATTCCTGTTTACCACTTTTACTCGACCAAATTTTTCGAGTAAAATGTTTACGAAGAGAACGCCATTTTGTTTTGGGCTCTATTAAATTCGATTCAATGTTTTACCAGTTTTGTGGGTTCAGGAACGGTTTTCGAATAAAAAGTTGCAAAACTTGTAAAATTAGTAGATTCTTTTAGGTTCAGTTATGCAACTATTATCATGTACAAAGTTTCAACAAAATTGGATATTCCGTTCTCTTCACATGATATTTATAAATTTAAAAAATGTTTACCCTATTTTGGATAAGTATAGGATAGTCCGTTCACAGTATATTGTGAAAAAATGTTGAGCAAAGTTTTGACCTTTTTGTGTGGGAGGTAACAGAAGGAGTGGGCCGATGGGTAACGTCTTAAAATTTTATTTAAGTTTGAATTCGGACTTGATTTAGATTTGGAAAAAATACGACGACGGAACATTCCACTTGCTTCATATTTGATTTATAAATATTGCAGTGGATCCCATCTTCGACCTTTGTCTAAGTTTTGTAAAGATAACAGGTAAAGGATGTATATCCTCATTTCCCACATGGCTGAGATAAAAAATTGTTAGAAAATTTAGCATTCCCCTAAGGGACGCATCGATTCTTTGAGCCAATTTTTTATAAGAAGTAGTCGACTCTCAATGCCGGAATATTATTGCTACAGAATAATTTGTATACCCTCCAGCATGTGGTATGCATTCAAAATTGGGTTTAAATGGTTGGGACCTTTATATCAAAACTGTCTTTGGACGAATTTTTGGAGACAATTTGTGATCTGAGAAAATGAAATATAAAATTACAGACACTAGGTTGAATATTGGACTGAAAACACAAAAAAAAAATTGGTAGATACCTTTATGTGGGCTATGTAAAAATATGAACCATAATGACAAAAATACCGCCACTTCAGTGGGGAATGTGTCCAAAGCATTAAAAAAACGAAAATGTGGTCGGAACTTTTTTAAGGTTATAACTTTTATTTCCAGTTACATTAATAATTTTCTTTAAATATGTCAACATCCAAAAATTAAATTATTTATTTATTGAAATTCATATCTTCAAGGTCAATAAATAATACAAACAATTTATCTTATATTCCTATGTAGGATTTAAAATTAATCAATAAAATGCTATCACTTAAACTTAACTTATGAAGCCACTTTGGCGAAAATGGGCGGTACCTTAATAATTTTTGCATAGATGTATTTCAACCTCCAAAAATTCAGAATGCTAAATTATCGTCCCCATTTTCGGTTATAAAATGCGGCTAAAGCCTTCAGAATACAGAAAAATGGACGATATACCTCAAAAAAAAAAAACAAAAAACAAACTTCTGGGATAGACAATACTAAGAGAACTGATGAGGATTTGTTGCGAAATCCGAAACTATAGTCTTCTCTGCCTTTCCGAAAGTAATCAATGATCTTTTTTAGGAACTTTCTCACATCACCTGTAATTAGAATACCTCAATCCATATGACTGCAAAGCCCGATGTAAAATTACACCAAACATAAAAGGTCATTTAATATGGGATTCTTTAAGAGAAGAATTTTAAAAAAACCGTAAGGATGCGACTTTTGAGCAGGGCCTACGAACATATTTCAGTATGAAAGGATTGTTCCTCTGAATTTGGGATCAGTATATTGGACTAGATCTGGATCCTCTATAAAATTTGGACTTGAAAATTCGTGAATTCTCGGAATTAAAATAATTTACTTTATTTTTAGAAATGGATTTGTGAGGGATTATCATATATCGGACTGAAATACGATGTCTGTTAAACTAAGTTGTTAAACCATTTTTATACCCTACACAACTATGTTGTCAGGGTATTATAGCTTTGTGCAGCCCCAAAAGTTTGTAACGCCGGGAAATATTGGTCCAAGACCCACCTTTAAGTATACCGATCGTCATATCTCGACTACTGACTTTTGTGTGAAAAATGACAAAATTTGTATTCTATAGCGTATATATTTACCCCTGAAGGACATAGACCCGATAAGTTGATATTATATCCAAGAGGAGTGGTTGACCTTTAAATTAATACCAATGATATTGTTGTATGTTCTCGGATGTGGGAGTTACACCTAAATATTTACAGTTATCTTTGTATTCGTATATTATTTATTAACCCATTATCACTCTAGAGAGCGGAACTATAGCGCTGATCGCTTTGAAATGTTCCATGAGGTTCCAGTTATGGTCAAGGATAACGCCTATAATTTTCGGTGATGAAAATTAAATTTTTGTGTTATTTTCGAGTCGATCTATAGACCACAAATGAAAGCCGAATATCACAACACAACCCACGGTGAAGGGAATCTGGACAATAGCTGTACTGAATACTCGTAATATTCGGAAAATATGTCTGTGTGAGGAAGAGGTGCTGTTTATCTCTAATCGGGCAAGAGGGTGCAAATATCACGAAATATTGCCCAGGCTCGGAATAAACATCCGCAGAAAATTTGAGTTCCGTGGTAGTTGTGTAGGGTATCGTATGGTCGGCCCCGTCTATACTATACTGCTCCGACTATACTGCTCCGCTGACTGTTTTTTTTTTTGCTTTTTAGTTAAAGTTCTGAAATTGACGAACCTGGATCGGTTAAATACCACACAACGCAAATTTTCAAACCCATCTACAAAAAAGATGCTTCTTGTGGTTTACGCATGCAATTGCTCCGATAAAAATATCGCTGCTGTAAGTGAAGGTGTTGCCAAAGACCAGAATTTGACGATTCCCGTCGTCTTACGGCACATTATGGCGTATTTTGCATTTGGATCTATAGCTACTTCTATATGAAGATCAGTTTTTTGCCCCCTATTGCAGAATATGTGGATTCAACAAGACGGTGCCACATGCCACACAACTTTACTGCGATATACATTTCCTGGCCGTGTAATTTATCGTCTTGGCGATATCAACAGGCCACCAGGATAATGTGATTCGATACAATTAAACTTTTTTACGAAAAACCCTGACCATCCTAATAATTTTCCTTCCTTCAATTTTTAGCAAGTTCTGGCTGAGACATCGACCAAAATGTTTCAAAAAATTTTCGAAAATTCCCAACAAAATAAGGTTTAATATGGTAAAATATTTTAAATTTGTTTTATTTACGTCCTGCAGCGCACCATTTTTAGCTTATTAAAGTGTAAATGGTTGGTACCGAAACTTGGGACAATATTAATAATGTTTGGTAGGGATTGCGAGATCTAAAATATAAAATTTCAGCCAATTTGCATGAAAACCGTGAACAGCAGTACCCTCGAAATACAGAAATTCGGAAGTTTTAATTATAAGGAGAATACCGTAAAAATCGGATCAAATCGTAGCAATGCTAAAACGTGAATATATCCCATGACGGAGACACCCACCCACCCTTCACGATTTCAATTTTTCTAGATTTTCAAAGGGCTGGTAAATCAATACCAATGCTTGTTAAGGTTTGTAACTATGCACATATCGACGCCACCGAACCATAGTATGCTAAGTCGACTTAGCATGTTTTAAAGTTCTTCACGTTTTTAGATACTACGGTCCTTAATTAAAATTCAACGGTGTTAGAAAGATTACATGTCTGGCTCTCGTATAAACTAGGATTACTGACTTCGCTCTAAAATTAACAAAATGACGGACCTTTGAAAAAATATTTTTGAAAAATCACCTATTTTTGACCAAAAACCAAGTTAAAAAATAAAGAAGATATTCACCGATTGGCTTTATCCTAGTTCATACGATAGCTATATACTCAAAGAGAAACGTTTAAAAATTTGGAATCGATTGGGTTTTTAGTTTTTGAGTTATAGTGTCCCCCAATGTTTAGAGAAAAACGCGTTTAAAGTTTGAGAAGCCCTTCAGCCGTCACATGATGCTGACACAATAAATCGGCTATATCTTCAAGAGTTCTTGAGATTTCACTTGAAATTTTGTAGGGACATTCTTGAATTAGGTTAGATTCGATTTAAATCAAAAACATTTTTTGATCCCGAGAATGGGGGGTCCCCTTAATAATAAAAAAATATTAATATGAAAGGGCCTGATGTTCGTCCTTATTATGGTCGTCACATCTCATTTTTTTTCTCAACACAGTTGTGGCATTATTTTATTGGCTCAAATTCAATTGAAATATTATTTTAATGTGTTTTCACGCCGATCTAGTTAAGAATATGACAAACATAGTTTTCTATGTTTATTTATTTATCAACAAAATATAAACAAATCTGTCAGTCGGTGGTAGGTGGTGTGTATGCGGCGGTGGTGATGATGTAAATTCCATAAAATCGAACATTAATAACAATTTCAACAAACATAAATATCAACGCAGGCGAAAAGAAGCACAAAAATAAATGAAATACTGGAGAAAAACATTATGTGGGAAAATAAAAAATAATTTCGACATTATTTTATTGTTTATGTTGGCAATGGTAATAGGAATAATATAATTTGGAAAATGTTTAAAAAAATAATATATAATAAAAAGATACAAAAATATATATCGATAAAAAAGTAAATAAAATGAAACTTACGCCACCGTTCATAGCTGACAAACTTACCTAGAAAAAAAGTGAAAAATAAAACATTTATTATAATTATTGCTTATAAATTAATTTAAAAACAAATATCATAAAATAAAATAAATTAAGCTAATCAATGGCTACTGTATATTGTTGTTAAATCACTCATAAAAATTAAAAAAAAAAATTATTTATAGTTTGATAAATAGTTTTTTCGTATTTCTTCAAACACTACTAGTTTGACGAGGTGCGTTAAGATCATCAACAGACAACCAAAAGCAAAGAAATTTGAGAGAAAAAAATCAACTTATAAATAAACATAAATTAAACATCAATAAATCTTTTGTTGTTAGAAACGCAAATAATCTGAAAATACAAATCGAAATAGAAAAACAAAAAGAACAACAAATATTATTTTAAACTATATATTGTTGTTATAAAAATAGACTGTTGGTGGTGGGCAGTGTTGCCAAAACTTTGTTGAGGAAAAATGCTAGATTTTGTTGAAAAAAATGCTAGAAAGTGCTAAAAAATTTAAAAAAGTGCCAGAAAAAAGTGCTAAAAATTTCTAGAACAAAATTTTTAATATTTAATAATGAAATATTAATCAGAAACCCCATTTATGCTTAGCGGCTATTCGTTGTCGATTTAGCCATGTCCGTCCGATTGAGGTCGCAATATTTAAGACAGAGCTTTGGAATTTTGCACATACGTTGCTACTACTCCTATGAGATTTGATATTGGAAATGGAATATATCGGTCCTTTTTGTGTACACCATACCCCAATATTTGTTTTTTTAAGCTTTTAGGCACATTTTTTCAACCTAAATTGCTGTATATTTGTATATTGTGTTATACCTGGATGTATAGTCTTCTTATTAGAACTTATCAATATTGGTCAACTTTTAAGGGTAGTCCTCATCAATTGCATTGATTTTAATTTGATTGTTTAAATTTTGTTTAGTAAAAAATCTCCTTATCAAAAATTATTAATATGGGTCCATATTTAGGGGTAGCCCCCAGAGAGCGGTACCCTCCCCATTATTCGACATTTTGGGGATGTCGGACAAGCAACCGAATTGACTAAATTTTTTCTATTTTTTGTTTTGATGGGGTTTGAAATCTTCCTACTAAATTATAAATACTAATAATTAGACCTCGGATTTTGCATATTTGCATATTTTTTAATAATGAAGATATCGAAATTCTGATTGGACACAAATTCGTTTCAAAGGATTTAGAATTATTTGAAGGGTTCATATTTTTTAATTTTTTGCATATTTGCATATTTTGCATATGCACGAGATATGCAAAAAATATGCAAAATATGCAAAAAATATGCAAAATATGCAAAAAATATGCAAAATATGCAAAATATATGCAAAATATGCAAAAAATATGCAAAATATGCAAAATATATGCAAAATATGCTAGGTCGATATGCAATAAATATGCAAAATATATGCATAAAATATGCAAAATATAGGCCAAATATGCAAAATATATGCTAAAATATGCAAAAATATGCAAAAATATGCAAAAATATGCAAAAAATATGCACGGTATGCTAGGTCGATATGCAATAAATATGCAAACATATGCAAAATATGCAAACATATGCAAAATATGCAAAATATATGCGAAATATATGCAAAATATGCAAAATATATGCACAATATGCAAACTATGCAAAAATATGCAAAAATATGCAAAATATGCAATTATATGCAAAATATGCAAAAATATGCAAACATATGCAAAATATGCAAAAATATGCAAAATATGCAAAAATATACAAAATATGCAAAAAATCTAATTTTGTATGTATGCGTTTCATGGTTCAACTGTTAGATTTTTGGGGCATTATGAAAAATTTGCTAAATATATGTATAAAACATGCAAACATATATAACCGTTATATGGCGATATACTAAAACGTGGACCGATATATCCCATTTCCAATACCAAACATCCTAGGAGTAATAATAATATATGTGCAAAATTTCAAAGTTCTATCTTTAATAGTGCGACCTAGCATACCGTGCATATTTTGAATATTTTTGCATATTTTGCATATGTTTGCATATTTTTGCATATTATGCATATTTTGCATATATTTTGCATATATTTTGCATATTTTTGCATATTTTGCATATTTTGCATATTTTGCATATTTTTGCATATTTTGCATATGTTTGCATATTTTGCATATGTTTGCATATTTTTGCATATTTTGCATATGTTTGCATATATTTTGCATATTTTTGCATATTTTGCATATGTTTGCATATTTTTGCATATGTTTGCATATTTTGCATATATTTTGCATATTTTGCATATTTTTCATATTTTTGCATATTTTGCATATTTTTGCATATTTTGCATATGTTTGCATATATTTTGCATATTTTGCATATTTTTGCATATTTTGCATATGTTTGCATATTTTTGCATATTTTGCATATGTTTGCATATTTTGCATATATTTTGCATATTTTTGCATATTTTGCATATGTTTGCATATTTTGCATATTTTTGCATATTTTGCATATTTTTGCATATTTTGCATATGTTTGCTTATTTTGCATATTTTTGCATATTTTGCATATTTTTGCATATTTTTGAATATTTTGCATATCGACAATGCATATTTTGTATATTTTTTGCATATATTTAACGCATATCGACCTAGCATACCGTGCATATTTTTTGCATATTTTGCATATTTTTGCATATTTTGCATATTTTTTGCATATTTTGCATATTTTTTGCATATTTTGCATATTTTTTGCATATTTTGCATATTTTTTGCATATTTTGCATATTTTTTGCATATTTTGCATATTTTTTGCATATTTTTTGCATATATTTTGCATATTTTTTGCATATTTTTTGCATATTTTTTGCATATTTTTTGCATATTTTTGACATGACCCCAAATATCGATCAATTAAAGCATGAAACGCCTAAATACAAAATTTGAGTCCAATCGGATAAAGCATAAAAAATATGCAAAAATCCGAGGTCTACTAATAATGTTCAAATTTGGTTAAGGTAAATAACTGTAATTTGACATTGCGTACAAATATGAAGAAAATTAACAATTTTCGTCCCATTTGCGTACTTTTAAGGGTTTATAATCTCATTCCCAACAGCGACTTTAATATAAAAAAAATATGTTTGCCGGAATTTTTCTATTTTGGTCCTTATTCTGCACAATCCCAATATATAGGGGTACGCTCGCCTTTTCGGAAATATAAAGTGGTTATAACTTGGCATTCGGGAATAAACAACTTGTTTTCAGAAAGTTCCAACATAATTCATGTTCATTATTTTTACATCGCTCCCATAAAATGTAAAACTTAATTTGGTTTTTCATTTTCCCAAATAAAAAATCTACCAACAGACAATGTCATAATCACCACATGAAGTACTCGACCATTTTTTAAGAAATTTGGAATGCACGGCACATGCAGGATAGCATTGGAAAATCAAATTCATCGCGTAAAACATAGCAAAAATTCACTGCGTCAATATGAAATCGAAAAACGGGATTTTTTGGATTGAAACCAAAATTTAAAAAAAAAAAATCCTAAGAAATTAAAAAATGCTAAAAAAAGTGCTAGGTGCTAGATCAATTTTTTTGATGCTAAACGAGTTCAAAAAGTGCTAAATCTAGCACTAAAAGTGCTAAATTGGCAACACTGGTGGTGGGGGAGGGTGTCTATAGAATAAAATCGATGGCATTTTAATCTGTTTGGCCATCAAGGTTGGTTGGATGGCTAGCCTAGGTAGCTTGCTATAATCTGCTAAAAGTAAACGTCCTACGCTCAATTTTCTTTTGATTTTTTTTTTATTGAAAATATCCACTAAATTAAAACAAAAAGAAAACAACAACAGAGAGAGTAATAATAATAAATATTTGTGATTATTGGATAAAATGTTTGTGTATATTAAGGTGGGGTGCCTGTGCTGGTTCATTTTTTATACCCTCCACCATAATATGGAGCGTATATTAATTTTGTCATTCCGTTTGTAACTCATCGTAATATTCATTTTCGACCCTATAAAGTATATATATTCTTGATCATGGTAAAATTCTAAGACGATCTAGCCATGTCCGTCCGTCTGTCCGTCCGTCTGTTGTAATCACGCTATCTTCTGAAGGAATTTAGATAGGGTGCTGAAATTTTGCATAGGGTTGTGTTTTGTCTGCAGGCAGGTCAAGTTCGAAGATGGGATATATCGGTCCACGTTTAGCCATAGCTCCCATATAATAGTACCCGCCAATTTTCGGTGTTTTGGGGTTCTTGGGCGCGTTTTTCAACCGAATACGCTAAAATTTGGTACATTGGGTTCTAATTTGGTACTAAATGTCCCTACAAAAAATTATAAATATAGGTTTACTTTTTCTGGTAGCCCCATATAACGGTATCTCCTAATTTTAAGTATTTTGGGGGTATTGATCGTATTTTTCCACCGAAGTGGCAGTAATTTAGTATTTCGAGTTCTAAATAGTTACCAAATCTCTCCACATAAAATTATAAATATATGTCAATTTTTTCGGATATCCCCCATATAAGGGTACCCCCAATTTTCGGTATTTTGGGGTTCTTGAGCGCATTTTTCAACCGAATTTGCTGCAATTTGGTATTTTGTAGTCGTATATGGTAACAAATTTCCCTACCAAAAATTATTAACATTCGCCTATTTTAGCCCATATAACCCCCTATTTATATTAAAATAGTTATCTGATTTGTTGCGCGTTTTGAGTTTGGTGCTAAGACTCTTTTGTAATCATTTCACCTGCGGAGGATAGAGAGATAAAAAATTAGAACGTAAGGTTCGGTAATGAACTATTGCCGCATTTAGACCTAGCCCATGATTGGAGGTTCCAGAAGGAGTGGACCGATATTCCCCATCTTCGAATTTGAACTAAGCTTGGAAGAAATAATAACATGGGCAAAGTTCGGATGAAATCTAAATTTTCTGAAACGGATTTGATCCAAAGAAACATTGGGTCTAGAACCAATATTTCG